GTAACATGTCGATGTGTTTAAAGCACAATGTTTAAAACTATATACACGATCGGTAATCTCTAAATCTGATTTTCCAGCCATCTATTAAGCGTTTCTCCAAATTATGTATCATACTAAGATAAAGTCGTTATCTGTATTATTATATTTGTTATATGGTAACTTTATAGATGGCAGCACACATTTGATTTTATGTGGTCTCTATTTCATTCAACACGCATATGCTCGAGGATGTGTTCGGGAAGTACGCTTCAGTTATTTAGCGTTATTTAGCGTTATTTAGCGCTGATTCTCTTATCCTTGGGCAGAATTATATTGAGCTTTATTTCGTTTTACGTACATGCGCACATTTATCTATATACTATTCATGTTACGTATACTGTAAAAAATATACGTATTGCGTTGCATTGCGTGAAACGATATGCAATTATAGAATTGCGTATTAAGGATGTACCCAGATATCCAACCTGAGCGAGCAGATTTCGAGCAGAGCTTGCTATCAACTTTTGATAGCAAATAGATAACAAATTTGATGCAGGATCTGTTATATCAAATCTTGCTGCCAAATTGCCGCCAGATATGCGGCAGAACTTGTTGTCGGATAATTGCTGCAGATTTGCAGCAAAAACCGCGCAGGCTTGTAGCGATTTGACAGCAGATTGGCGGCAGAAACCGCGCAGAAAGCTTGCTGCGCTGCAAGCTTTGCGCGGTTTTTGCTGCAAATTTGGCACCAATTGCCCGACAGCAATCTTTGCATTAGTGAACACTAGTTCAGAAAGTTCTTCGAAAAAGAACCTAGGGCAGTCAGTGCAGTACTGACCACTGTTGCACTTCAAAAAAGAACAGCGATGTCGACGTCATTTCCGTTAAAAAAGAACGCTTTGGTGTACACGCACCGGCGTTAATGCCGTCCGAATATCCGTGTGACTCGCACACGATAACGCGTCACTCATACACTGCTGCGTGTAGGTGAGCTAAGAACAGCACGGAGTGGCGGAGGGAGCTAGCGGTATACGATCGTCGGACGCTTGGAGAGGGAATAGTGGTGGGAGTCGCGGCGATCTTCCATCCTCTATCGCAAACGTAAGAACGAGAGAAATAGCATTATAAGACGTCTGGACAGAAATGCCGTCCTAAAATACGTGTGACACACACTAAGAAAACGCTTGACTCACACTGTCTCGTCTATACGTGAGCAATACGCGGTGTCCCGACGATTGTTTCGCTCGCTCGAACGTTCATGCATTTTTCATTGTTAGCAAGGAAATTACTGTAATGTAAAAATCTTGGGGAAAGG